TAAGATTGGTCATAAATGACGATTAGTTTTCTTATGTATAGGTATGCAATCAGCGACTAAGCGAGTAACTATCGTAGTGCCCCTAACAAGCATGGAAGAGCGACTTACCTGCTCAGTTAACTGCGTCAAAAGCACTAAGTGGGCGTACTCACCACTGCCCATTTCCGTTATCTCTGTTGCGTTCTTTGCCCCCCGCCAGTAACGTTCGAGCATCTGCAGGTAGGTCCGGACACACACGCTTCTAGGTCTTCAAAGGGTTATTCAAGTGAATGAGAGTCCGAAACATATTCAGTGAAAGAGGAGTAGCAGGTTGAACACCGGGCTGATGGAGATGCATCAGACGCGAAAACCTCCTCCACTTGCTCTCTAATTTCGTCCATATCTTGCGGGCGGCTTTCTTTATGCGCCTATAACGGGTACTTGTCGAAACAGGCTTGAAAAGACTGAAAAAGAACAATTGAAACACAATTTACAGAGTATAGGCGAAGGGGAACGTCAGAACTGTAGTGCGAACGCTCGGCAGCGGGACAGTGCAGGAAGTGGCGTGCGATAGGGCGCCCCGGACTCGTGGCACAAAGTGCGATAGATTTTCCAATAGCTGACGTTATTAACGCGTCCGCGAGTATCCTGGAAACCAATTAAATTCAGCCACGAAAAACGACGAAAATTCGTGTCCCGAATGGCTGACCTTTGCTAGTAAGGAAGTAGGAAGTACACGAGTGCCCAGGATACACCTGCACTCTATTTATAAGTGCAATAAACTGTTAAAAAGGGCTCAAATTGGGACTTCTAAGTCTCTCAAGCTGAAGGGAGATGCAAATTTGCTTACCTCGCTGTTCAACATTAATAAGATATATTTATTAAACAAATAAGGTTGCTTGGAAACGAATAACGATTATTGCGTACAGGGGGAAGGTGCTCTTGACATAAGCGTCTCCCAATACCGACATATTGGAGTCGGCTAAGGATATTACCGTAAAAAGTTTTGTCACACTATTTGAGGGACTATTCTACTACGGTTCAAAATCAAAATAGTTAAGGTTCGTATATGCAGCTTTTCTCAGCTCAGTTCTGTTTAGTTGAGACGTTGTAATTGATCTCTTGAACGTCTGAACTCACTGTCTGTTAAAATTACCTGGATCCCTGGGCGGCGAAAGACCTCAACATCATTGAAAAAGTTTAAAGGCGTGCAAATGTCCTGGCATTGGACGCGACTCAGGACTATATTAAACACGGTTTCAAAATGTCTTGCTCGAGTTAATTTTTTGCGTTCGAACGAGATCCCGACATGAAGACTGGAAGAATAATAGGTGTGCTCCATAAATCAGGAAAGAATCCGTTTAAACGATGGAATAGTAATATAGGAC